AAGTTAGGCTTAAATTACAAATCAGATTAAACAACCACCCACAACTCGTTTTGATCACCTAACTAGTGCGCCACTGTCAATTTACACAAAAATTTCGAAATTGAAATGAAAATTCATGACAAAATAGAGCATTCATGCAACAAAATAGAAAAACATACTCTAAGGACCAGCCGGTTATGCTTGGTATTTAGAGGAAAAAGTCTCCATGCAAAGCTTGATGATAATGGAATTGCAAGTCCCAAAAAGTGTACCTAAAACCAAGCTCGGAGACTACAAACTTACTGATGATGAGGAAATTCAAGAAGCACTTAATGGCTTTTTTGCACTAAAACTTCCCTAATCAACCGATTACCAAAAATTCCAGAAATAGTATGTGAGGTATAGGCATTACTAAACTGTGTACTTGAAGCTATGTTTTACCAATGATAATTTCCCTTCATTATATCATTATGTCCTGAAAACAAACTTTGTTTCACTGGATTTTAACTACACAAAACATGGAAGATGTAGCGACTTTAGTGGCCTTTGGTGTTTAACATGAAGGTCTTGTTGGAAAAGTTGTGAGTGTCACTAGTAGTGTTGAACATAGTAACAATAAAATTGATGATGGGAATGATTAGGGCTCCCCAAATGGGACCGAAAACTAGCCAAACTTGACCGATCAGTCTGGTTTGGTTTGGTTTTTTATTTTTTATTTAATTTTCTCAATTATAAACCGAACCAACCAGGCCAATTTGATCCGATTCACAGTTTGAAAAATGCCAAACAGTCGGTTCATTGGAATCGAAGTAGCTTGCATTAATGGTTAAATATCCAGACATGTGTAGGCTAGGGAGTTCGAACCTCAAACCTCTGTATGGAACTACAAGAAACAACAAGTCAGTTTGTGATATTATTACATAACAAATATATATAAATGCTTTCAAGCATAACGAAATTTTAAATAAATAAAAAATCATAACTAATAGGGCTTTAACCCTAACACCCTTATACCACATTCGTCCGGATTGTTTCAACCCATACAGTGAACGTCTCAACTTAATGGAGTACATGTTCCGTGATTTAGTGTTTGATTCTGTCAACATGAGTCCTTTTGGGACTTTCATATAAATATTAGCGTCGAACTCCCCATACAAGTATGCAGTAACAACGTCCATAAGACGCATGTCAAGTTTTTCTGAAACTGCAAGAATTATTAAATAACGGAACGTAATTGCATCCATAACAGGAGAATATGTTTCTTCATAATCAATCCCAGGCCTTTGAGAAAAACCTTGCGCAATGAGTCGTGCTTTATACCTTGCAATCTCATTTTTCTCATTACGCTTTCTTGTGAACACCCATTTATATCCCACAGGTTTTACACCTTGTGGTGTTTGAACCACAAGTCCGAATACACCACGTTTTTCTAAGGAATTTAACTCAACTTGGATTGCGTCTTTCCACTTTGGCCAATCATACCTCCCTTTACATTCATCAATAGATCGTGGTTCAATATCTTCATGACCTTTTATAATTTCAACAGCTACTGCGAAAGAAAAAATATCATCGATAACCATTTCACTACGGTCCCATAATTCATCATTGCATGCGAAATTTACAGAATTTTCTGTATTAGGTATCTTTTCCTCTTCAATGGCTTGTGTGTTTTCAATGACACTTTCATTCTCCGGATGAATTGTAGATTCAAGGTGAATCTCTTTCCCAATAATATATTCATTAGCGTTTTCATTGGGATTGGGATATGCTTTCAACTTTCGCTTTCTAGGAGCTGAGTCCTTGGAACCAATGGGTCTACCTCGCTTCAGGCGTGCAGTAGATGATTCATTTGCTGCAACATTGGTTAATCCGATTGGGATATCAATCCTTGCTGGTGTATTTGCTGCAGGTATATGTGATTTTTTCACTTTTTTTGTATCGGTGAATACATCAGGCATTTGATTAACAATTTGCTAAAGGTGGACAATTTTTCGTACTTCATTTTCACTTTGAGTTGTATGAGGGTCAAGATGAGACATAATGGATATGTTCCA